TGGCAGGCTTCTTGCTAACTGTTCTTATAGCTTAAATTAATCCATTTCCATAAATCTATATCTTGCCACGTGGCTCGTGGCTTACCGACATCTTCACATGCTGCTTGTCATGGCGGTGGCTGGCAGTGTCTTCCTCCACCTTCCTGTTCTCTCAATTCTTCTCTCTGTTAGTCCCGCCTGTACTTCCTGTCTGGCCACTGGCCAACTAGTGTTTTATTTATGGACCAATCAGAGCAATTTGACATACAGACCATCCCACAGCACCCGTACATGGATTTTCATGTCGTGGGTGGAAACCGGAGTCAACAGGTGGTCCAAGGTCACATAGCCAGTGTTCAGCTGCAAAGATACGGATCCAGGTGTGGTGGCTTTGGGCCAGCATGTGACAGTCACCTCGAGTCCCCAAAGCAATGCCCAAGGCTTCTTGGTGCCATGTGACAGCTCAGACTCCTGGCTGAGATTTTGAGACAAGAGTCCTTTATTTGAAAATCGTAAGAAATATTTATAACTGATACTTCAGTTTTAAAAGATCTTGTGGAGGACCTACCGACTGCTCCGGGCTGCAGTGACAGCCAAAGAAGAGGTCAGGTCACTTTGTCACCTGTCCAGGGACCACAGCACCGGGATAGAGAGCAGAGTGGGGACCCTTGGATGAGTGTCCCTGAGCCTCTAGCCTGTCTCTCTTCAGACTGGCTGCTTAGTCTGTCGGCTGCTGCTCTATTGATGGAGAAATTATGAGAATGATTGGACTCAGATGCATTCATTCATGCATTCAGCAAGTTCTAGCAGAGTCACATGGACGGGGGACAGCAGCTGCCACAAGCCTAACAGCTAAGAGAAGGGGATGTGGTGGTGGTGGTGGTGGTGGTGGTGGTGGTGGTGGTGGTGGTGGTGGTGGGTTTACAACAATAAATGTAAGCGGCACAAATCCAGTACCGCAGCAGAGCTAGATCTACAAATGTAGCTGAGATTCATGGGAGAGGGAAGAGTGGACACAAGAGAACAGGGCCCAGAGGATGGCGTGGAGCTGAGGATGCACAGGACGACTGTGCTCTGCTCAAGATGGGGCCAGGCAGAGACCCAGAGGAGCCTTGGGAACATAGGTGGGTGGCTGAGAGCTAAGGCTGGATGCAGAGAGGTCTGCATGTCCACTGCCCTCTGCTGCTGAGCATCCATGGGACACGCTGCAAGGCTTTCCATGTACAGGGCCCATCTCACAGCTCTTGGTTTTGAAGATGTGCTAGAAGCTGCTGGGAGCATCATGGAGTCTGACAGAGAGCTCTGTCCTGGTCTTGTGTGACCTAATGGCTCTAATGCTGATGGAAAGAGGAGGAGAGTGACAAGGGCCGTGAGGGGCAGCTGTCCTCTGCTTAATTAGCATCCTGATCCATTTGATTTTGTAGAGACCAGAAGCAGCCGGACAGGTAGGAACAAGACCACACCCATCCCTGAGAGCCTGGCTTGGTCAGCCACCAAAACGCTGTGCTTCTGCATGCTCTCCCTGCCCCCACTCATTTTCACACACAATCGGAAAGCATCGATTTTGCAAAAACAAATAAGTGGACAGCTTTTCCAAAGGCCATTTCAACTGTCATCACACCAGGACACTTCTTCTTTCCTAAGCGTCCATCACCTGCTAGTGCAGAGAGCAAGGCGTGACTCAGCTGGACATTGTTCTCTCTCTCTCTCTCTCTCTCTCTCTCTCTCTCTCTCTCTCTCTCTCTGCCTCTGCTCTCAGCAGCCAGCACCAGCTATGTGATTGGGCCCCCTGAGCCCGCAAAGTGACCACACTGTTGGGATGAAGCATCCTCTCTCTGCTTCAGGGAGAGATGTGAGGGAATTTGAATGGGTTACTTCTCCACGGCAGCCGCCCTGTGCTCCCACCTGCTCCTCCACACTGTCCTTCACCCGGCCTCCCCATCCTTCTTCTAGGACTACTTCGTATTGCTTAAGATCCTATTTCCTGCGGAAGCATGTGAGAATCTGTCAGCAGGAATCTCCCTCGGCCCCCTCCATCCCACACCACACTAAGGCCACCTCTCTGGCTGAGGTGCCATATAGAACTTAGGCAGAGTTTCGCCACGCCAAGTCAGGCCTGGGCCATTGCAGTGGGAAAGGCTGAGCCCCAGGCCCTGCTCCCCCTGGTCCTGTGAACTTAATGACTTGTGCAGACCTCGTTCCGTGTGGGAACGCCCCACCCCGGCCCTGGAGGCTCTCACCTTCTTTGCTGTTCCGTGGACCTTCTGTTTACACCCCCCCCCCATGAAATCCCAGAAGTCTGAGAAAACCCAACAGGTGATTATGTTCCCAGACCATGATTAATCCACATCCTTAGTCGGTCTGAGGTGCCACTCACCACGTTGACTTGGGGATATGGAGATTATTGGACTCCAAGCCCCTCGAGGTTCACAGGAGAGGGAGGTCAGGATGGATGGGAGGGATGGAGGGATGGACTCAGAGCATCCTTTAGACTAGGGGCCAGCTGGGCCTTGCAGCCAGGGGTCCTGACTCCCAGCATGCAATGCAGTCCTAGCTGGACTCAGTCCCCTCTGACTTCCCTCAAAGCTTGTGTCCCACTCTGCATGTTGCATGTCACTCTCCTCTCTCCTCACGTACTGCTCCAGCCACAGCCCAGATTCCCATGTCCAGGAACTCACTCAGGGCCTTCTTCACACTGCTGGTCCATTAGCCAGGACAAGCATTTCTTAGGGAACCTCTGCGTAGCTGGCTCCTGGTTATGGAGGATTTAGTGAACCTCAGAAGGGTTTTCTTCAAAACCAGCCTGTGCGTCAGAAAGACCCTGGGGAAGGGGGGACAACAACTCTCCCCTAGTGTGACCACTTTGGTATAATCTCCTTTTGAGTGGGGGTGGATCTCTGGCTTGATACTTACCGATAACTATGACAAGGAAGGCTGTGAGCTGCTCCTGCCGGAGGCGGATGGTGCGCTATGGTGAGGGCATTCTGGGTAGTGCTGGGTCAACCAAGGAAGAGCCCTGGGCAGGCTCTGGGTCCCTCTGAAGAGGAGAGCCTAGGTTGCTCTCTGCTGCTGCCACCGAATATCCAAACCTGGATTCTGATAGAGATCAGAGGTTTAGTGAGCCCACGGGGCTGGGCGGCTCCTCTCACTCGACCTATTCTGAGGAGCTGGTGGCAGCAGGTGCCACGTCCCATGGAGTCACAGCTGATGGAACCACTGCAAGTGCCGAGGTGCCTGTGTCCCCGCATAACTTCCTGCCTCTTTGATGTCCCCCTTTTCCCGTCCAGCTTGTCTCAAATAAGGGCAGCCTGGTCACGTGACAACGAACTGAGGTGAGTCAATCTGAGGGTCATAGAGGACCACCTCCCACTTCGGCTACACTCCACCGCAGTATAGAACGGACATAGGTTTCTACGGTGGCTGTAGTCCTACATTCATCAGCAAGGGAGCAAAGAGCGTGCCTTCATTCAGCGGTACCTGAAATGAGGGTTTGGGGTATGGGGCCGTTGTGTGGTGAACACTGGCCACAAGGTCTCAGACCAAGGCAAACATTGGAATGGGCTGGTGCCGGCCAGCTGCCATGATTAAGGATCGGGTCACCAGCTACTGGGAAGTCAAGCCGATACCTCTAGGCTTGGCTGCAGGGACAGAGCTGGGAGAAGAGCCAGCCGCTGTGACTCCGGTTGGGGTCTGGAACAGCTACTGAAGAAAGGAATGGCCAAGGCACCCAAACACTGAGAAGAAACACCTACTGTATGCCAAGCGTGGGCTGGCACAGGCAATAACTTGGTAGCCAGGTAACCATAGCAACCACTTTGTCCGTGGTGACCACCATCGCTTCCTGTCTGGACCATGGCCTTCTAACAGGGTCTCTGTGTTCAACTTCAGCCATGGTTGGCATATGAGGCGTGTGTGTGTGTGTGTGTGTGTGTGTGTGTGTGTGTGTGTGTGTGTTTTGGGGGGGGGCGGTTGTTTTGTTTTCAAATCACACCAGATTTCATAATCACTGTGCACAAAATCTTCCCTGGAGCCGAGCCTGTTACCCAGTCCTTGGGAGACTGAGACAGGAGGATCCCACACTCGGGCCTGCCTGAGCTATAGAGTGAATTCATGGGGTGAGCGGCGATGCGAGGCAGCAGCCTTGGGGTAGAGCGCTGGCCTGACGTGCACAGGCCTCTCAGGGTTCCCTTCTCCTGGACTCCTGTGTCAGAGCAAACCTCCAGGTGCTGTGACGGCTGCAGACAGGACCCAGCCTGCTCACAGCTCCGGATGCTACCCCACTTCCCCTTCCCGCAGCACACCCCAGCAGCCTTGGCCCTCCTCAGCCTGAGATTCCTGCCTTGCCCCCTCACACCCTCCCTGAGACCTCAGCAAGACCCCTCCATCCCCTGCCTCTTCACTGCCAGTATTTTCCCAGAAGCGTTTCCTTTCACAGGCCTGGAAAATCCAAAGGTTTTTTTTTTTTTGTCTTCCACTTGTAAACTCCGTGAGAGTTTAGTTGCCAGCTCAGTCGTGAGTTTCTAGAACAACGGCTGGCACTTAATAGGTGCCCCAAATTTCTGCTAAGCCTGGATACCACAGCCCTGCAGCCTAAACAGGTTTTCCTTGCCTGGAGTCCTGCTTCATAGTTTCCGTCCACCCCCCACTACTTCCTGGGGATCCCACTGCAGACTAGAGGTGAACACGCTTAGTCTATGGTCCATGTTTTACAGGTGCGGGAACAGGCCCAGAGAAGTGAAGCCTGCCGATGTGCCCAGGACCCTGTGGTGGGTAACTGCTGATTCTGCTTCTCAATGACGTACCCATGGATGCTCAGGGTGCAGACATTTCACAGGGACAGGGAGATGGGACACCCAGAGAGACCGCTCCTCAGAGGCCACACAGCAAGCAGGACACTCAAGTCAGCCTGCCTCTCTCCTCAGCCTCCCACCCCATCTGACCCACAGAACTCGCAAGTAACTGGCCTGTGGCTTCCCAAGTCACCTGGTATGTCAGTCAGCTTCCCATTACTGTAACAAATAGGTCAGATAAATCAAATTAAAAAGAGAGGAGGTGAATTTTGGCTCAGAGCTTTCCAGTCTGTGGTTGATTGACTCTGTTGCTTTGGGCCAGTGGTTGCACACCATGGTGGGACCTTGCGGCAGAAGCGCCATCATCCCGTAGCTAGTATCAAAGACAAGGGTCCTGCTCTCCCCCTGGACACAGCCCCCAAAACCTATCTTTCTTTCATTAGATTCCACCTCTTAAAGATGACACCACTTGTCCATGGCACTCGGTTGAGGACAGCACCTGACTTGAAAATGTGGGGTAGTGGGGGTTTGGCTGGCTACATGCATGGATGTAGGACACAGGACTCGCTAAGAGCTGGTTGTAGTGATATATTGTGTACCCTAATAAACTTACCTGGAGATTGGAGTACAGAGTCAGCCACTAGATTAGACATAGAGGCCAGACGGTGGTGGCACACACCCTTAATCCTATCACTCAGGAGGCAGAGATCCGTCTGGATCTCTGTGAGTTCAAGGCCACACTGGAAACAGAGCCAGGCAGTGGTGGCACACACCTTTAATCCCAGTACTGGGAAGCACACTCGCCTTTGATCCCAGGAAATGACAGCAGGTTGGAGAAAGGTATATAAGGCGTGAGGAAACAGGAACTAAAGCAGTTCAGCTGAGACCCTTTCGGGTGAGGACTCACGGAGTTGGTGAGTTGAGGTTGGCTGTGGCTGGCTCTGTCCTCCGATCTCCAGGCAAGTCTTTTAGGGTACACAGTATATCACTACAGCTGGTGGCCCTGGGCCCGATCCAGGCCTTTTTATGCCATCTTCTGCTGTTTAGTGATGGGTCTGTCGGCTGGTGACCTATGGCCTTGATCTGTGTTCTTTGCTTTGATGTCACACATATGCATTGGGTAGGGACATCGCCTGTGGGAAGGTTCCTCTAGCTTCATGAGCCATTGGGCCATGAGCCTGGGGACCCTGAAGGGCCCCTGGGGACCATAGGGACTCTATCCAGACTTCATCAAACACTTCCCATTTAAAATTCATTAAAGAGCTGTCTGTGGAATTGACCCCCATGTCCATCCTGGAGTCCAGGTTGTACGCTTTGAGGCTGTACTTGTCTCCTTCAGCCTGGTAAGCAGTGCTCAATGGAGTTGGGCTTGTGTTTAAAGAATAAACGTTCAATCAAAAGGACACACCCTCCTGGGGGCATCTGTTTTCTAGGCTGTGTGCTAGGACACTCAGCAGGGCTGATTGAGTGCTTTCATGAGGAGCCCATGAGGTCAGTTCTCAACCATGTCTATGGAATGACCAAGACACAGGGGCCTAGAAAGCTGAAGCACCAGGTACAAGACCTCCCAGCTGGGAGGGGTGTGGTTAGTGCCCAGACTCTGTCACATCATGATTCTGGGTTCCAACCACAGCCTCCTGGTAGCACCACACCACAGGCTCTTGAGTATGCTGTGGTGCAAAGGTGCCTCCAGCACACAGGCCCTTAATAGAGCAGCTCTGATAGACAACCTCCTCCACAGCCCAGATGGAGGTGGCTGTGCCCAGGCCAACATCATATTTTCTGGAGCAAAGACCTCTTGAGAATTGAACAACTAAGCACAAAGCCAGTTTTATGCTGTGCAAGACCCTGCACGTAAAGAAATTCCACACCAGGGAGCCTGCCTTCAGTCTTATTTTTCCACCATTAAACATGATGTCAGCAGATGCATCTCCTTTCCCCCAACAACCATCAGGTCTTGCTGCAAGTGAACCCTGGACGCGGGGAGCCAGTGGCTCATGGAATAGCACTTCAGTGTTGGACACCGTCATGTGATGTCCCTGCTGTGATATGCCTGTAGTAGAGATGTGTCTCTTGCAAGACCCCTAATAAAAGCAGCTTAGGAAGAAATGGTGTGTTCCGATTCGTTTGAGGGTGCGGTTTGGCGGGGAAGGCATCACAGCAGGAGAGTGAGGAGACTGGTCCCATTGCTCCTCCGGTTGTGAATCAGAGAGAAATGAATGCTGGTGCTGAGCGTGCTTACTCCCTTTTGTTCAGGTCAGGCTCCCAGCCCATGCGGTGATGTTGCCCACATTGAAGGTGAGTCTGCCCATCTCATTTAACCAAATCCAGAAAACTCATTGACAGACAAATCCAAAGGTTTGCTTCCGTGATTATTCTAAACCCTACCAAGTTAGCAATCAAGATTACCCATTACAGAGCCCTGCCCTGCTCCCCCAGACCCCTTACCCCATCTGCTCCCAAGTCTCATAAGCACTTTAGTGTTATCACTCAACAGCCTTTGAATGTCTTTCTCACCAAGCACAGTGATAGACACATGCCAGGGAATCCTCCAACAAAATCACTGCAAAATACAGTTGGAGGTGGACAGTCTTATCAATTTGATCGCTGAGAAATTCCTTCGTATTACAAAGCACACCCCTGGGTGTGTATGTAAAGCATTTCCTAAGAGGTGAACTAAGAGGGATCGCCTACTCAGGATGTGGACAGCAGGCTGGACCCCTGACAAAATAAAGAGAGAAGGGAAGAAGAAAGCTGGGCGTTCAGGCTTCCAGCTTCCACTCTGATCCCAGCTGCTGTGAGGACAATGGCCTGTTCCTGCTGCTGTGAGGCACAGCTTTGTCACAAGCCCAAACACAGAAACTACAAGCTGAGGACCAAGCCCTCTGAAACCCTGAACCAAAGTATACCTGGCCTTCTCTAAGTCACTTCTCATGACTGTTATAGCAACAAGAGCTGACAACACACTGGTTTCCCACTGGCCTTGTCCTGAAATACCATCCATCCACCAATATATCCATTTATTCACATATTCCTCCACCCATCCACTCATCAAGGCATTCACTCACTTATCCATCCACCCACCCATCTACCAACCCATCCACCTCTCCAACCATCCATCCATCATCTACCCACTCACCCATCCATTCACCCACCCACTCATTCATTTATCCATCCATCCACTCATCCATCCATCCATCCATCCATCCATCCATCCATCCATCCATCATCTACCCACTCACCCATCCATTCACCCACCCACTCATTCATTTATCCATCCATCCATCCATTAATCCAACTACCCATCCACCCATCCTTTCATCCACCCACTTATCTATCAGTCCATCCATCCATCAATCCATCCATCCATCCATCCATCCATCCATCCATCCATCAATCCATCCATCCACTCACCTACTATCCAATCATATGCTGGTATGCTAAATGGTGTGGTAAGTCTTTTCTGGAATTGCCTGGTTAGAGACTGACAATGTCCTGAAGTCTATTCTGTCATTACCCATTCTGTTCATGTGTTGCCCTCTAAGAGACAACCCCCACCCAAAGCCTCAAATAATGTTTCTCTCCCTGCCATTCCTCTCTTCCTGTTTGTGTTTTCCCCAGACTTTGGTCATAGTGTTTCCAGCACATACTCCGTGCCCTACTCACCACCCACCCCTGCTTCCTACTGTCTCTCTAGAACTCAGGGTGATCTTGGTGCAGAGAGAAGGCTGAACAAAGTGAACACTAGAACACGGATATGGAAGGCACCCAGAATCTGCAAGGGGAAGAGATGGGCTTGAGCCCCTCTGAGATGCCAACTCCCTCACTCTGACATCCTCCAAGGTGGGGGACCTCCCCTTCTCAGAGACAAGCACAGCTCCTGGCACACCCTCCTCTGGTTCTTGCCATCTTGTTCTTCTCAGTTCCTCTGCATCTGTCTGGTGTCCAGAGTCCTCCTACTAGGGAGAGGGAATTTCTTCAGTCCCTGCCCTCTCAAGTCATGCCTCCCCCTAGAAACCCATACCTTCTTCATGAGACAAAGGAAGACGTGTGTTGGGAACCCAGCCAAGTCTCAGGTTACTGATGGCCAAGATCCCATACCTCCTAGGTGTCTGCACTGGGACAGGATGTATATGCTTCCAGAACCTGAGGGCAGATACCTCACACTGTCTCACTGGAGGCTTCTGTCCATCAAAGAAACCAACTTGACTACATGAGCAGGAGGGCCAGGAGCCATGATCAGCATCATCTGGGCAGACTGCATCTTCCCCAGACAGAAGAGGGGACAGGTTGAGCATCAGTCCTAGCCTGGGGGCCCTCAGTACTGCCTCTGCTTGCTCTCCCCAAGGCCTTTGCCACTAAAGCCACTTCTCTTTGGGCATCACTGCCAAGGCCACTGGTTGGGGTGCTCTGCAGTGGTCACAGATGCATCTATACACGTCCTGGGAAGGACCCCAAGTACCATTTGCCATGGATAATAAACACTGTCCAGAGGACTTGAGCCATGTGACTCCCTTGGATTGGGAGCACCAGACCATGAAAAACCTTCGACAAAATCCTTTTGCTTCAAGAGGCTGGCTCTGAATTACAGGCCATTATAGGCACTTGACTTGCTTGAATTGTTATTTTTCACACTGAGCGCGGGGATAGCCTCCTCTCCTTCCTTGTGTGTCCTGTTTCCTGAAGAGCCAGTGGACACACCAAACCTCCTTCCAGTCTGCTCCTTATGGCTCATGATCACACTTGTACTCAAAGATCTAACCTCCTGAGCAACGCGTCATGGATCAGGTATCGAGCGGGTTTGGAGCAAGCTTTGCATCATATGAGCTCAGGATCGCTATTGTACTTGTTTTCTAGGGAGGGAGCTGAAGTATCTCAGGGGTTGGGGGTGGGTTATCCTCTGTAGGGCCAGAGGGAACACACTGAGTGCTTTGCAGACTGGTGACTCAGTAGCTATAGGCAGTTTAGTTTGAGAAAGCTGGAGGCCTTTGGAAGTCTGGGCTCTCAGTCTGCTACCCACCACAGTTCCCCAGTGACAGAGTGCAGAAATGACAGAAGCATCCAGCAGGGACGCTTGAGAACATGGCTCTCTCTGGTCTCCCTGACCAGACTTAATCTAACTTCCTGACCTAACTTTATTGGTGTGTATTCGTGGGGGTTAATTCTATGTGCCAACTAGACTTGGCTACCAGGTGCCTAGACATTTTGGCTAAACAGAATTTCTGGGTGTATCTGGGAGATTTTCTTGTGGCGAGGGGTAGAGGCAAGGCTAAAATTCAAGTGGTAGTCAGAGAAATGCAGGTTGTCTTCCTCCAGGGGGCCACATGCCCCCCCCCCCCCCGTGGACCTCCTCCCTCTGTGGACCACATCCCCCTGTGAACCACATCCCCCTGTGAACCACATCTCTCTGTGAACCACATCTCTCTGTGAAACACATCTCTCTGTGGACCACATGTCCTGTGGACCTCCTCACTCTGTGGACCACATCCCCCTGTGAACCACATCTCTTTGTGAACCACATCCCTCTGTGAACCTCATCACTCTGTGGACCACATCGCTTGTGATTCACACCCCTCTGTGGACCACATGTCCTTGTGAACCTCATTCCTCTGTGGACTACATCCTTCTGTGGACCACCTCCCTCTGTGGACCTCATTCTTCTGTGAATCACGTCATTCTGTGGACCCCATCCCATTGTGGACACATCCCTCTGTGGACCACATTCCTTCATGGTACTTGTAGACCACATCTCATTGTCAACCACACCCCCTGTGGATCACATCCTCATGGACCACATCTCCCTGTGAACCACACCCTCATGGACCACATCTCCAGTGAACCCCGCACCCCAGTCCCTGAGCTCCTGGCAAGCTGCTGCCTTTTGTATCTCACTGGGGACCCAGACCCGTTCCTCGTATACACTGGCTAAGTGCTGTACTGTCCCCAGCTCGGGGTCATGCAGGCCACTGAAAGCCAAGATCAGGTGCATTCCTTCTCTCACTGTCTTTGAACTGGGACCTCAGTTTTGGATTCTGAACCTGAACTTGGTTAGCTCTGTGGATCTTCAGCTTCTGGACCCAGGACCATTTGGTTTCTGTGAGCAGTGGGTTGGCTTCCTCAGAGAAGGACTTGTTGTACCCACTTCGAGAAACCCCCAGAGACCACCAAGGAGCCAGTTTTTCATGCAAGCACATAAGGGTCCTTTTATTCAGGTTCAACCTGGGCCACCACATGGCAGATGGAAGGAAATGTGGCAGCAGCCACGAGCCCAGGTGTAGAGGGTTTTTATAGGGAAAAACCACAAACCAGGAATTGGCAACCTGGGATTGGGTAGAAGGGACATGGTGCAAGGTGATTTTTTGAAACTATTGGTCTAGACTTTGGGCATAAAGCCACATTTGAAACCATTGGGTTAGACTTTTGGTGGAGAACCATAACCCGCTAATCAGGATTATCTGGACTGCTCAGCAGGATTATCTAGATATCTCCAAGGGTCACATTCCTGAGGTCCTCCCTGGCACTGAGTTCAGCAGGTGGTCTGAGATGGTGGCCCTTTCCCTAAGGTGGAGCGTCTGAAGTCAAGTCTAGGCCCTCACAGACTCAGCTTCCGCAGAGAATCCAGACTAAGCACACTAACCTGCCTGTTACAGGGGGGAAACTGAGGCTCTGGCACTATGTGGCTGTGTGGTGGCAGCAAGGGCACCGAAAGAACTGAGTCCAAAGGGGCCCCTCTGGTTGTCCTTGCCTGAAGGGGCCACACACCTGGGCCATATAAGACCACGAGGAGGGAGTTTGTCAGGGATGAGACTTCAGTGTGGCTTTTCAGGTCTCCACCATGGCCTCAAGGGCCTTCTCTACCTCCCTGCTTCCGGACTTAGCTCTGTCATTCAGCCCTCCATGATCACGGTCCCTGTGAACCAGCTGTGGTGCAGAATCCTGCCTCCCCCCCCAGAAGTCCCCATGGCTACCCAAACCTATCTCCTCTTCCCTCTCCTCCTCCTTCCTCTGCCTCTTCTCTCACTCCCCTTTTTCTCTCCCCCCTCCTCTGCCTTCCTTCTTCCTCCTCCTCCCCCTCCCATGCCTCCCTCTCCTGTCCCTCTTCTCCCTCCTCCTCCCTTCCTCCTCCTCTCCCCCCTCCTCCTCCCCCTCTCCAAGGTGAGATGTACTCCTTCCCAGAAACCTTTGCTGGCCCCCTGCTCCATTTTGAGTGGGCTGACTCTCTTCCTTGGGATGGGGCCTGAGAACACAAATCTATTTGTTCAGGAACAACTGATAGAGAGGAAGCCAGGCCCCCCTCCCCCAGGCACTGTTCTGAGAGTCTGGTCAGGAGGAGGAGCCTGGCAGGAGGACTGAGGCCAAGACAATAGGCTAGGCTGTCGGTGTGCAGAGCCTGGGGTCAGCATGGGGTCCTGTCTTAGTGAGAACAGCCAACCCTAAGCATTCCTGGTGTACAAGTACCCTGTGGTGACCTGTGTGTGTGTGTGTGTGTGTGTGTGTGTGTGTGTGTGTGTGTGTGTGTGTGTGTGTG